CGAGCATCTAAAACGACTCGACTGCTTGCTAATAAGGCCTTGAGTTTGTTTTTATACAACTGTTCGACCTTCCATAGTTCATATCATATTTCATCATGGCGCCCGCTGCTATCTCCCCACCTGCGTCACCCCGTCCGGATAACGCCACTACTTCAGACATCTCTTCATACCGTGGCTATCACCATGTCCACTGGTATGTCGGCAATGCAAAGCAGGCCGCAGCATTTTATGTTGCACGCATGGGCTTCGAGCGTGTAGCATACCGTGGACTTGAGACTGGTTCGCGAGCTACTGCTTCTCACGTGGTACGAAACGGCGACGTCACATTCGTGTTGACTTCGCCGCTGCGGTGTCTGGAGCAAGGCTCAAGATTTGGCAAGGAGGATGAGGAGTTGATCAAGGAAATTCATGCGCACCAGGAGAGACATGGTGATGCTGTCAAGGGTAAGCGTGACACACCGCACACCTTCTCTGTGCTCATCAATCAAAGGCAAAATGCAACAACTAACACTATCATTTAGATGTTGCATTCGAAGTCGATGATGTAGACGCCATATACTCTGCGGCCGTCTCCGCCGGTGCCGTCTCCATCAGAGAACCCTACACACTGTCAGACGACCAAGGCAGCGTACGCCTGGCCACCATCCGCACCTACGGCGACACAACGCACACTCTAATTCAAAAGTCCTCCTACACCGGCGTCTTCCTTCCCGGCTACCGCACCGAAACCAGCGCTCGGGACCCACTCTCCGCCTTCCTCCCCTCCATCAATCTCAGCGCCATCGACCACTGCGTCGGCAACCAAGACTGGGATGAAATGGAAAACGTCTGCGCCTACTACGAAAAAGTCCTGGGCTTTCACCGCTTCTGGAGTGTAGACGACAAGGACATTTGCACAGAGTATTCCGCTCTCAAATCGATCGTCATGAGCTCCCCCAACGACGTCGTCAAAATGCCCATCAACGAGCCCGCCAAGGGCAAAAAACAGAGCCAGATTGAGGAGTACGTGGATTTCTACGGTGGTCCCGGTGTCCAGCATATTGCACTGCGGACTACGGATATTATATCCGCCATTACGAACCTGAAGGCGAGGGGCGTCGAGTTTATCAAGGTCCCCGAGACGTATTACGAGAGCATGAAGATCAGGCTTAAGAAGGCGGGCATGACGCTGAATGAGGATTTCGAGACGCTGAAGAGCTTGGATATCTTGATTGATTTTGATGAGGGGGGTTACCTGCTGCAGCTTTTTACTAAGCATCTTATGGATCGGCCGACGGTGTTTATTGAGATTATTCAGAGGAATAACTTTGGTGGGTTTGGTGCAGGCAACTTTAAGAGCTTGTTTGAGGCGATTGAGAGGGAGCAGGAGCTGAGGGGGAACTTGGTCTGAGAGAGAGGCAAGGCCAAGATGAGGAGACATGATGAGTGGTTGGCGTTCAAGGCATTTTCCTGGCGTTGGATCTAGCGTGGACATAGGGTCTACTGCACATGTTGCATATTGATATTTTTCAATTCATTATCTATTTCCAGATCATCTTGAGCCACAGATCTCATCTTCTTTCTCTCTCTATCAGTTTTGTCTTTCACTCTCTACTTTAAGCATTTTGATAGTGCTTTGTCTAAAACATCACTTTAAGACTTTTCAACCCAACAATCTACATCGGTAGATTCCATATAAAATCCAAAGTTCCGTCGTCAAATCCCTGGAAACTCTGTGGCCCGCTATCCAAACCAAATGGTGCCATTGCAGGATCAAAGGGTAGTGCAAGCCAGTCGTCATCTGGCATGAGATTCGTCACGTTTTCTGCTAGTGAGGAAAGGTGTGACTGTCCGGCATTGTGATTGTTCAAAAATTCCATGCCCGTTGTTGCGCCCTTGAGGTCGGCGGACGTAGCACGTGAGGGGAGTCGTGGTGGTCGTGAAGAAACAACAAAGCTTTCGCGGAGACGAGCAACATGCAAGTCAAGTAGTGTGGCATAGCGCGACGCCAGATGCATATCGTCAAGAGTACCTGAAATGTCAGCAACAATACAAAGTCAGAGCATAGATAACACTAACTCGCACGAAGTGCCCGGACGGCTGCGTCAAGAATGTCTAGACACGATTGGAGCTTTTGATTGCGTGAGCCCAAGCTCAGGCCCTTGATTAGGTATATCGATGATGTCGTGATGCGCAGGAAGATCCTCACTGGCGAGTAGCGCAGTGCTCCTGTTTCTGACAATTGGCAGACCTTTTGCAAAATCTGGCAGCTTCCATCAACCACCTCCTGGATAAAATCGTAGTCTCTTGGCTCGAGATTAAAGGGAAGATTGTCTTCTTGAGGAACATCTGGGTCGGTCTCGGCCAGGGTGCGCTCAACGACTGCTTGCATGCCTAGCGAATTGGTGTAGATGCGAACATATTGATACTCTATGTGAAGCATGTCATGCAATCCGACTTTGAGCTCTGTGAAGCATTAGCATTGAGGTTTTCATATGTTTAACGGCGTAAAGTAACTTACTACAGGGATCAAGATACTTCTTCCTCCACGAGGTTAGTAGAGGTTGGAAGTGTTCAAGGAGGCCTATGTAGCGACCAGTGCGCAGCAGACTCCTTGTAGTAGTCGTGTTGGGATATATCGTATCAGAGATGGAACGTGCAAGCTTTGTAAGCTCCACCCAGGCACTCATGAAAGACTGCCATTGCTCTACAGCACCTGTCGCTGAATCGACCGGAATCTTTTCCATCAAAGCATGGTTGAGACTTTGCGGGATCATCGAAGTGCAACCTAAGCGCCACGAGAGCTGTTCAAGTAGCACGTATAGTAGCTTCCGGGCTCGGATCCTTCGTAGGATCAGATATTCAGTTGAGAACTTTGGGTAAGATACCTGATCTTTGTCGATCCTTGCATTATCTTCAAAGAGGCCCAGCTCTTGAGCCAACGACAAGGCACAACCCATCAACATCCAAGACATGCGATCAGAGCGCTTTGCAGGTTCTATGACATCCTCGAACCACCTGTTCGAGGTTACGTCTCCTTCCAAGAGCTTTGCACCCTCTTCAGTGGTGTTGTTGGCGCCAATCATGAGCTCACAGTCCCAGCCATCTGCGGCAGTTGGGAAGTGAAGAGCGCGAGGATGCCACTCGGATAGCAGCAACAGTGCTTCAATGGATCCAATAGTCCTACTCTGTGCTTTAGAGGGCTTCACCTGTCCCAACATGATTTTCATGATGAAACGTTGACATTGTTCCCAGAGTCTGTCATGCACAAAGTAGCCTCGCGACGCGCCACCTACTCCAGGGAGGAGATTGTATCGAGATGAAATCATCAAGATAGTGGTACAGAGAAACGGATCCAACGCAATCAGTGTGTAGTGATTCTCATGATGCGAATAAAACTCTCCTAGTATGGGCGACAAGGGCGAACAGTTCTTGAAGAATAGATCAACGTATGTAACGGCTTCATGCGCGGAGAACCAGCCCATTTGCACAAATCGACACGAAGTCCATATCTTTAGAGTCTCAGGCGACGGTGTTGACATCTGCACCGGCTGCGCTCTGAATGTGTGAAATGGGGATGATGGCACGCCATTATCGTAACCAGATGGCCCTGACCTGGGCGTCTCGTATGCCTGAGACCCTGACTGCTCCTGGTTGTCAATGGCGTCGCGATGATTTGCGGCCTCAAACAGCAGATTCAACGCATCGCTGCCGCTAGAAACCACAGTCCTCATCACGGAATGAGCTAGATCTGACTGAGACGACGAAACGCGCCGAAGATGGCTGTGTGGAGACTGAAATTCCGGGCGATGGTGGCCGCCGTTAACATGTGGGCTACCTCCCGGAGTGAACCCATGTGTCGAAATGGACAATCTGTGGCCACTGGGTGAGGGATGAACGACGGGCTGTGGATTTGACTGGGGCTGGGCAGGCTCCTCGTCTTCATTCTCTCTCGCCTCTCCCGGCTTGCGTCTCTTGACCCATGAACGCTCCGACCGGAAGACGCATTCGCGCATCTCTCGCTTGCATCTTTGGCAAGGAGGCTTTAGCTCTCCGCCATCAGGGCCGGTTCCCAGGATACATTTGGCCTTGCGTTGCCGGCAGTTAATGCAGGCCTTGTAGGCCCGCTTGAAGTCTTCCGGGTGGGTCCGCTTTTTGCTTGATGCTGAGTTTGCGTCCTGTTGGCCAGTGCCAGTGCCGGTCATGGAATCATCCGCTGTGGACATTCTGCGTTGCGTAGTAAGGTGATACAGCGGATGGAGAAGGAATTGCGCTGTATTAACGGACCCGCGGGTACCGGCGACAATGACTGGATGACGGTGGGAAAATCTCGTCCCGCCTCGGCTATCCGCGGGCACAAGGCCGTTGCATCCGCCCAGTGCATGCAGGACTGCCATTACTCAGGGCATGCTACTAATGTCCCTGTTCTCTGTACTAGTTAACATGCACATGGTTCAAGAGATGGACCGGACGAAAAATGGCATGACATTCGACTGGTTTTTGCCTTTTCTGTGGACCTGCTGTGGGATAAAAGGTGTACTACACCACAACGGCAATAGCAAGGATCAAGACGTGTAGTAAGAAGTGATTATTTTGTCATCTTATAACTGATCAACCTGATGATAAAACAAAATGAGGGGGAGGGTTCTCAGTTCTACGCATGGTATTATTTCTACAAGACATTTGCCCTAACCAAGCAAGCTTATTGTTGCTCGCTACTGAAGCAGCAAAGGCGACCTTTAGAATGGGTGCTGGGATTGCGGACCAAGGGTCGTTCAGGTGGAAGAGACAAGCAGGAATGTAACTATTTCTTTACAAAAACGCAGCAGAACAGTCCTCAGATGGTATAATCGCTCAAAAGATGTACATGATGCTCGCTTTTCGTGTCTCGTTCTAGCATAGGCTAGATGCCCAAAGGGTATCGACTTTTCGTGCAAGACTTCTGTTACCCCAAACGCCAGCATTGCATAACAAACTTGGAAACGTGGCCATTTCATAGCATATGCAAGCGGAAGATAGGCCTACCAGTCCGCTTGCACTGAGGCTACCAACGGCACAGAGGCCACAGTATCAGTCGCATCCGACAAGGGGACCTGTGACACTGGGACGTTAGCTTTAGCTGCAGCAGCTGCAGCAGCTTGAGCTAGCTTCTTCTTTTTCTTCTTACTGAGCGTAGGAGGAGCAGAAGCCTTGGCAGTCATTTCACCCCCACCCGCAATGCTGTCAGGCCACTCGAACGTCCATTGACCACCTTCCACAAACGGGACTTTGCTGATGAATTTGGACACATCTGACTGCTTCCTCAACACTTCCAAATAACCAGCTACTTCGCGCAATACGTCACCCTGCATCTGTTCAGGTGTAGCTGAGAATTCTGGAATCTCGAGGAGATTATACGGCTGGGCGCTGGCCTTGATGGAACTGTCGTCAATGAGAACCGTATTGTGCTGACCAAAGCGACCGCCAGCATCATATTCTGGGTGGTACGACTGGATTTGACTCCGGCTCCATACCAGTTTCAAGTTCTTGTACACTTGAACATTTTGCTGATAATTTGCCGGCGATAAACCGAAGCTGTCGCGCGCCCACTGAGCTACGAGCTTGGAGCGCAGATCGTTGTCCAGAGCTTGATTGACAAGTGCCTTGACATTGTCTGGCCTGGCGCTTGACCAAACCATGACCTTGAAGTTCTCGAACAGGTAGCGTAGAAAGGGCTTCAAGAACGGGCGCTCGATCATAGTCTTCGCATTGCGATTAGGCCGGTACAGGACTGTACCGTTAAGGTCCAGAATGACCAACATTGGGCCAGGGGTCTCGGTTTCAGACGGTTCTCCAGCAGACTGCTCCATGTACTCCTCTGTGGGCTGTGGCGCAGGAAGCATGATCTTCTCGTCCCCATAACGTCCCTTCTTCTCAGCAGCAGGAGTTTGCTTGGGTCCTTTGGATACACTGTGATGTTTGTTAATCCGGTGCCAGTCGGCTTCGTGAGAAGCAACGCAGTGGAGGGTTCCATACTCTTTCTGCTTGGTTTGGCTATTGGCAGCATTCACAGACTTTGATTTCTTCCCTGGATAATTTGGCGCCCTGTGAATATTAGCATTGCGATTCTTGAACTTTGCGCCCTGGAACAAGGCATCGATAGCATACTGTATGTCCTCGTTCCTCGCACCTTGGGGAAAGTTTGCCTGGGAGTGCATTGTGTGATGCTGCGCCCGATTTCCAAACATCTGTCGTTGCTGGTGATGCATGAATGGCGGAGGGCCATAGTGAAGCGGAGGTCCAAATGGCGGTGGCTGTCCAAACGGCGGCGGCCCATGTTGCTGCATATGCGGAGGCGGATGTCCTGCCAAAGCATCTGGACCCGGTGGATAGTTTAGTGGGGGTGGAGGCGGAGGTGGAGGTGCATGGTATCCATGACCATTGTGCACCATCCACTGATGGTACGCCTGCGCGTGGAGGTGGGCTCCGTAGTCACCATATGCTTGTGGGTTGTTGAACATGTGCGGAGGTATAGGGGGCGGCATCATCGGAGGTGGCATGGGGAAGTTGTTATTCCACGGAATTCCTGGCGATCCATATGGGCCTGGAGGTCCAGGAGGGGCCTGGGGAGGAGGAGGGGGAGGAAGCTGGTTCTCAAAGGCGCCCAAATCCTGCTCTCGATGGCCAAAGCCGCCAGGCTGGAAAGGCAGCGCATTCGGGTTCCATGAATCGTTCATGCTGGAGCCTGGGGCGGTGCAGGCGAGCGGGCGCTCTGGAAAAGGACTATGTCGACCTGTGGTGGTCTTGGAGTTGGCGATGTTAGTGGAAGAAGTTGCGACTGGAGCGCAGTGGGGGATGCTGTACCGAGCTGACGCGATGGCGGCCATTGAGCACGTGCGCTGGCGGTGAGGACGACTTGGAGAACAGAGAGGAGTGAGGAGTGAAGAGCAGGGCGAGGTGACGATGCAGTGCCCGAAGCATGAGCCCAGCTGATGACGCCTCTGTATAGAAATTTGGGCGCGCAACTGCCTGGCCGTCAGCCCTATCGGCGAATCGAAACCCCGGCGGCCATGTGGGGTCCACCGAAAAGTTGGGTAGCGCAATCTGGGGTGTTTTCGCGACGCTCCACTCCAATCCAAGGACTGTATCTCACAGCCTAGTAATTCCACGGCGGCGACTTGATATACGTGCCCGCGATGGTCCTTTCAAACAAGCTCGACCGCAACCTGCGTGCAGCAGAAGAAAGTTCGGATGGCGAAGACTACTACGAGGTTACGGACCGGTCTTCTTCTGCTTCTGTGATCGAGGCAGATGAAGGCGGAAACGTCATCAGCTCCGATGGCGAAGAAGACGCGGGGTCTGAAGACATGGTGAGCATCATACAGAGCAATCGACCAGTGGGCTGTGCTAACATGGACAAGTCAGATGCTGAAAACGACGACGACCAAGTAAAGGCGCAAATGAGCAGAGTCTCATTCGGCGCATTAGCCAAAGCCCAGGATGCACTCTCGAAATCGTCTAATCGAAAACGCAAGCGAGGCGACGACACATCAAAATCACAAGAAGACAAGCTGGAGGCGTTGAGAGAACGATTACGGCAGATCAAGGCTGAGAAGCTTGCAAGTGGTGCGCAGCCTAGCAAGAAAGCAAAGACATCGAGCAAGTCCAAGGCGAAGCCCGTTCAGAGTGGTAGTGGCGACAACGGCGACGCCAGCGATAGCGAGGGCTCCGGTTCAGACGCCGCGCCTCATGCGCGCTCCAGCAAACATGCCCCAGCCGTCCAGTCGAGCAAGCGCATGGTATCGCGCAAACGCCAGGTGGTTGAGGTGAAGAAACCCGTCTTCCGAGACCCACGATTTGATAGCGTGTCCGGGCCCCGGCCAGACGAGCATGTGATTGACAAGCGCTATTCGTTCCTCAACGACTACCGGGCTTCTGAAATCTCAGAACTGCGCAGCACCATCAAAAAGACAAAGAACGAAGAGGAGAAGGAGCGACTCAAGAAGAAGCTTTTATCTATGGAGTCCCAGCAGAAGGCAAGAGAAAACAAGGAGAAGCTCAAAGAGGTTACACGCGAGCACAAGAAGAAGGAGAAGGAATTGGTCAAGGAAGGCAAGAAGCCGTTCTTCTTGAAGAAGTGTATGTCCATGATCGCGCCTCCATTTAACCGTCACGTGCTAACCGTACGTTCTAGCCGAGCAAAAGAAGATTGCGTTGGTCGACCGGTTCCAGAATATGAAGGCGAAGCAGCGCGACAAGGTCATCGAACGCCGTCGCAAGAAGGTCACTGCCAAAGAAAGGAGGAACATGCCCGATGCGCGGCGCACTACTTAACGCCTCTCGTGTGTGGCGCATTCACATGCGGAAAGGCATTAGGATCAATTCCATATACCCAACCAGCAATGCAGCGTTTTTGCGTATTGCTGAGTTTTGCTCTCTTACATATGCCTTTGGCCCTGTGCTATTAAGAACGAGTGTGGCGTACAGTCTCTTACGATCAACCGATCAACCAGAAAATGCAGTCAAAAACATGGTAGATTCACGCTCAGACCCTAACATAAGGCCCGAGGACCGGGAATCTAGATCTACTTAGCTGCTCTTCAGCCTCATGCTTGGCAGGGATACCCGAATCTAGCCCCTCGCGCTATCTATTCAATAGGCTACCGAACACTTCCCTCAGCCAGCGGGCGGCGCCATCCCATCCTCGCTATACCACAATAGGTTGGTTGTAGAAAGCCCACATGCACACCTTGACTCTCTTGCTCCAGCCCGTTACCTCTTCAGGAGTTCGGTTACCATGCCATTTCGCTTCAAGCATTTTTGTGTCTTCAATTAGTAGGGGGAAACCGAACAGAATCTCGGAGGCGCCGTTCCACCTGACCAAGTATCCTCTCCGTTCTGAAATGCTCGGCTCGCATACGACGCCACCAGAATAACCCTGAATCGAGAAACATTCTGCCATGTATATATGCCGGTTACCATGCCTGACTGAGACTGCACTGGATAATACTATTCCATTCAGCAGGTCCAATTCCAGCAGCCGGTCATAGACCATTCCACTCGTTCAAGATGCGCTCGTTTACCGCTTCACTCCTTTTGTCTCTGGCAACAGCCACTACTGCTACTGAACAAGCCCAGTGCGACTTGATTCCGGATGTTGTTAATGTTTTACATGCCGTTCCGTATACGCCGGAACTATGCTCGTCGTTACTCAAGTTTTCTACTTCAACTGTCACCTCCACGGCTGTGAACACCGTGACGGACACCAGACCCACAGAAATCACAGAGACACTCACTGCCACCGAGACGTTTACCCACACAGAGACACTCACCACCGGTACCATTACTAGTACTACTGATGCTGTCTCAGTAGCCGTCACTGAGTAAGTCTGCTTAATATGAATCTAAATTGCAGCTGCTGATTTGTTTAGAACGACCACAGTCCCAGCATGCCCCACAATCACTACCGTCTTCAAACGAGGCGAGGTTGCTGAGACTGCTTCCACCGACACGACTTGTACCGGAAAGAAGTCTGCAAGCAGTGCAGGTGTTTATCCCACCTATCCCATCAGCGCTGCCCAGACATCTCCAACAAGCACTAGCTCTACTACGTGCTCCAGTTCTACCTCTACAAAGTCTTCTTCGACCAAGTGCTCAGAAAGTTTGAAGCCGACTCATGATGGATCCTACAACACGGAGGATTCTTATCCCACCAGTTCCTCGAGCACTCTGAAGCAGGCTTACGCTGATTCCTACAACACCAAGGAGTCTTACCCTACTGGTTCCTCCAGCGTTGACGGGTCCTATTATGCAGCTAGCTCGAGCAATGTTTACCCGCACTATGATGTTACCTCAAGCACAGTTCAGCAATACCCCGCTGCCTCGAGCATCATTCAGCAGTACCCTGTTGCCAACTCGAGCACTTACCAGCCATATCCTGTTGTTAACTCTACCACTTCGGCAACACCCTCGGTAACACCAGTCACTCCCACCCCCACCCCTACTCCCACTCCAGTCGTACTGTGCGCAGAGGCACCGGAAGAGCTTCAGCAGTTCGAGTGTGAAAAGATTACCCAGGGCTGTGGATGCCTTGGCCTGCAAGCACCTACAACGACCGAGACCGTCACTGAGATTACTTCTGTCGTTGAATTCGCAACAACCACGGCTACAGTTCAGATCACCACAGTTGAGGACGAGACACTTACACTATCTGTAAGTCTATTATTCTCACTTACAAGGCTATAGTCTAATTGATTCTTGTAGGTTGATGCAACTGCATACGTTACCCCAACAGTAACTATTGTCACCAAGGCCACTGAGACAGCGGCTCCACCTGATTTCAACACCGACGCTAACAACTGCGGTTCATGCGGCAACGTAGTAAGTCCCCAATGCCTTGTCAATCATACCTCATAACCAACTAACATCACCCTAGTGTCCCAACGGCGGTTCCTGCACCAATGGTGTGTGCCAGAACCTGAACCCGAACCCCCAATGCGCCACCTCCTCGTGCCGAAGCTACATCTACTGTGGTAGTGGCTGCCTCTGCGGCTCCGTCGTTGGCGGCGGCGGTCTCTGTATTCCCGGCAGCACATCCTGCAGCAGTCCCGCGTGCAATACAAACTCGGACTGCGGCGCCAATCAGTTGTGCGTCATCAACACGTGCTGCAGAGGCGGCGCTGGCATGTGCGTCTCCGTTCAAACTTCGTGTGCCAACAATGCTGCTCCGAAGATGTTGTTTGTGCGACGGCCCAGTGAGGGAACCGTGTCTGGATAGAGTTTGAAGTCTTACTATAGAAGCATGACTTAAGCTTGCGGAACCTTACTTTAATACAAACCATTTGTTTATATACTAAGTTCCTAGGGACGCTTGAATATTAATGTTTTCTAGTATTTCTTTTCGAAAAAATTAAATTGTAAATTTGAAGTGCTTCGCAGATAGGCACCAAGATTGTTTGTTATCGGTGAGTTGAGACGAATTCTTAAGGATAAAATTCATTGTTCAGATGAGACTGCATACATATATACAGTAACGTTTCCATCCTAGAGAGAACCTAACAGATCCCTAATAGATGTCCTTCCTAGACATGGTTTCAGAGTATGATGGCAAGAATCTTTAAACGTCGCCACAGACTACCGCATGAAATTATTTGTCTCTCTCTCTCTCTCTCACACACACACACACACTTTCTCTCTTCAACATAAATGGAGATTAGACAAGTATAGCCCAGCCCCTGGCAAAAGTAAAAGAACCTTTACTTCCATTACTGTTCGACCTGGAAGTACCAGGTGCCGTCAAGGCGTGACAGATTTACACATGGGGCTACCGAACCGGGACTGACAACACCACTTGTACGTGTCTGCCCAGGCACCATTATTCTAATCTGCGCACGATGCTGAGTAGACAGCAACGTGTCCTGGAAGTTGGTAAGAATGATGGCATTGCGCCTGGAGCTGCGGTTGGTGACGAAGACATTGATATTTCGGGCGGTTTAGACATTGGTCGGGATGGTCATATGGAGGACAATAAGGTTGCTGGGTTGCCACGAGGCTACTGCCTGCTCTCCGGTGCTTCTCGGCTCATCGATGTATCGCTGGAACGAGATTTGCCCGATATTGTTGACGGGGTTGGGGCGGAACAGTGCGGATATGCATGCGCCTTGTCGGGGCTCGAGAGCTTGCGAGGAAGGAAGCGCTGCGCTAGATGCGACAGAGACCATGAGGATGGCGGAGAGGAGATATTCGGAGGCGTGAAAGAACATGTTGATGTCTTTAGAATGGGGTTCGCGCTTGACGACGTGGAATTAATAGATGAGTAGTTGATCAGACCTTTGCTAGGAGAGACTGGTGGAGATGAAGACGGAACATAGTAGTACTTTATATGTCATGTGCAACCACCGGCTACGAGATAGGCAAACACACACCCGTGCTCTGATTATGCGAAAACTCTCCATCTATGTCACTGTGCTGAGTACATGCACGCTACTTAAAGCTTTTCGTCTTTTAAAAGCATAAGTGCTTAGAAGTTTTACTCATCTCACCTAAATTCACGATCGATGTATAGTGCGGACCGAAAGGCAATAGCGACAAGTGAATACACAGTTGACAGGACCGTTTACCCGTGCCTTTTCAAGATCATCCATATCTGCTTGTATAAGCTACTTGAGAAAATAGCAAAAAAAGACAGTAATAAACAATAAAGTTGATCATAATATTGAAGTGATGCTACAAAGCTCTGGAATTCCTAGCTTTCTGGCGTGTTGTTGCTCTCGGTACTAGCAAAGTAGCTCTCACGGAACGGATTTACTATGACGAAGTGCACATTGAGTAGAATGCTAATCGTAGTGTTACAATAGCAGCAATAAAGGCTCCAAGCGAGCTTCATACCATCGGTGCTCGGTGATTTCGTTTAAAATTCACCGATTAACCAATCGAGTGGCCTGTCTGGAGTCCGGGTATTCCCGTCCACCGAGAGAAGAGTAGTAAAGGTACCGAAAGTTAAATAGATTCAAGCTTACGGTGGCCCATGTGAGGGCCATATTAACCACTCTATGTAGGCAGATCTTTTGTCAATTAGACCATCATCATCATCATAGCTCATAATAGTATATCTTTGTATCCTGATCATTTATTGGCGGTGGCATGGGATAAACAGAGTGCTCTTGGCGACGGTACGAGATATTCAAGGTTCAGAGGGGACTACATGTACATTCAGGTCAGTAGGTCTTCAATATGAGGCTAAGCCTACCTGTGTAGTAAGCTGCTTTTCTCAACCTAGCTACGACTTCAGTCAACACTAATCAGAGCGGTATGTCTGCGTACTTAGTAATATCGAAAATTCTAGGTCACAACACAGCCATGATGCAGACTGATGGAGCAACAGCTTGATAGCCGGCCCGCATTCAAAAATTTTGTACCAAGCCGCATATCTACTGGTAACTCTCCCGACTCGAGAAAGGGTGATCTGATGAGTCCTCAAGGTTTTTTTTTCTCGGTTCAGAGTATCGTAACAACTGTGCCTCCATCCAACGGCATTTTAGTTTTCTTTCAACCCTAGTATTCTTTAACATGATGATTCTAGTCCGTGAGCGGCGCTGAAGAGAATTGCAGCTTTAGCTCTATCACTACAACGATATGCTACTCTGGCTAATATGGTTGCCCACCAATCTACCTCCCATCAGTTACTAGTATAAGTGAAATACGTAGGCAAGATTCCAACAAACACTCTACTATCCATCTCACAACCACGCACCATCCGGAGATATATACCCTTAACATCCCACTACACCTGACTACCATCCGCGAAAATACTAAGATATGCCAATAGCCAATCACATCGCACCTCCTCCATGCACTCAACCCCCCACCCCTACCCTTAAGAGCTACTTATAACATGCAGCTAAGGCCGCAAAATGATGTACGCCAAGCCCTGCACTACAACGACATAACCACAACTTGCAACGGTACTTGCACTTGCATGTAACTCAACCGCTCAACAACTCACCCCCACACTTGTGCTCCCCCGCTCCCCCGCCCGCGGATTAATGCTTGAAAGGGCAGGTACGTTTGGTGGGGGGGGAAAAGCACGACATACCTGCATCACTCTTTGTACTTGTTTTCTTTTATCATTCGAGTAAAAAAAAAAGGAAGAAGGATGATGGCATCGGAGGAAGCGGGGTCGACGCAGGAAGACAGACGAAAAGAAAGATAACAGGATAGATACATGGATGGATAGGTATATAAAAGCCTTGTACTCGCAATGCAAAAGATGGTGCCAATTTCCCTTATTCCCATGCATTGAACTGATTGCTTGGTCAATTCCGGCTTCACAATGGAGTCCTGGCTCGTCCTCTTCCTCTTGCTCACAGCACCAATCCAAGCCTGCCAACGCGACTGGTCCCTCCTGCAGACGCGCATCAGCCGGCACTCGCACTCAGCCAGCAAACACAGGATCCGCGACACGGCGGCGTACCCACCGGTCCTGACGCCCAGCGAATCCGTCCTCGTCAACTCGTTCGACGCCGTCGCCCTGCGCACATGGTCCTCGTACTACACGCACGGCGACCATCTGGGCACGCACAACCGGTCCATGGCGGAGTGGACGGCGGAAAAGTGGCGGGCTGCGGGGTTCAGCGAGGTGAGCGTTGAGGAGTTCCCCATTTGGTACACATATCCTGAGCGGTCGGCGCTGCGGCTCGAGGGTGTAGCGGGCGAGGTGCTGCATGAGGCGCGGCTGGTCGAGGATGTGTTGGTCGAGGATGAGACGAGTGGGTATCCCAATGTGATTCCGGCGTATCATGCGATGAGTGCTAGTGGGGATGTTAAGGGGGAGTATGTGTATGTTGGGTGAGTTTTTTTCTCTCCTTTCTTTCCGTCTCTTATCTTTTTTTTTGATGCCTATGAAGTGGATGGACAAGGCTGATGCGGATGTGGATTTGCGGGAGATTAGACGCGGCACACGAGCGGATTTCCAGGTTCTGAAAGACGCGGGAATTGAGTTGAAAGGTAAAATTGCGCTTGCGAATTATGGGGGGATATATCGTGGGACCAAGGTGAAGAATGCGCAGGATAATGGGATGGCGGGGTGTGTGCTTTTTACGGATCCGTTGGATGATGGTGAGGTTACGGTGGAGAATGGGTATAAGGCTTATCCTGGTTTGATGCCCTCTTATTACGCTTGTTTGAGTGAGTACTGACGAACGATAGATGGACCTGCAAGAAATCCCTCTTCGATTCAGAGAGGTAGTGTACGCTTTTCTTCACTGTATTCTGGTGATCCTACGACTGTCGGGTGGGCTTCCTCGTGGGATTCTCCGCGTGGGGATATCTCCTTGTATACACCGTCCATCCCATCCGTCCCTATTAGCATGAAGGATTCGCTCCCGCTTCTTGAGGCTCTCAGGGGCCACGGCGTATCTGCCAAGGAAGCAAACCGTAGTGGGTGGACTGGTGGATTCAGCAACATAACTTATGACAGCGGTCCTGCCCCTGGTGCGCTCCTACATATAGACCATCTCATGAACGGGTGGGTAGCCCCTGCATGGGATGTCATTGGCGTCATCAACGGGACTACCGACGAAGTCGTCGTGATTGGAAATCACCGCGATGCATGGGTCATTGGCGGTGCTGCAGATCCGAACTCGGGCAGTGCTGTTTTGATTGAGCTGGCGAATGCGTTTGGCAAGTTGGTGGCAAAGGGCTGGAAGCCAAGGAGAACAATGTACGTCCAGCCCACCGCAGAATTCACATTGACTAACCCAGTGCAGCGTCCTTGGGTCCTGGGATGCCGAGGAATTCGGCCTCCAGGGTTCCACTGAATGGGTTGAAACGAATTTGCCCTGGCTCACAACAAGTGTAGTTGCCTATCTCAACCTGGACATTGCAGTGTCTGGTCCTAGGACCTCGTTCTCCGGCAGCGGAGAGCTACACACCATGGTCGTAGAACAGATGAAAAAGGTCCTATTCCCCGAAGGCTGGGGCGATTTCCCCACGCTCTACGACATGTGGCACAATACTACCCAGGGAGCAATTCCACCACTGGGAAGTGGCTCCGACTATGCCAGTTTCTACCAAAACGGCATCGCATGTGTACGTTCCCGCACATGTTGCCTTAGTATTCCACCACTAACACGCCTGCTAGATCGACATTGGCTCCGACGGCGGCAAAACCGACCCCATCTACCACTACCACTCCAACTACGACTCGTACGCGTGGATGTCGCGCTTCGGCGACCCAGACTTCAAGCTGCACAAGGCAATCGGCCAGTGGCTCACCCTCGTCGCCTACCACATTGCCGACGACGCCCTCATCCCCTGGGACCTCCCTAACGCAGCCACAGTCCTGCAATCCTACCTCTCCGAGCTCAACGAAACAATCGCAGACTCTGAATTGTCCAAGGACTTGGATCTCGCGCCGCTGGGCGATGCGATTGCAGAGTTTGAGGCCCAGGCTGCGAATATCGCACAGGTTGCTCAGACGGCCGTGGGATTTGAGGATACAGTGATGCTGGGGGTTGTAAATGCAAAATTCCGGGATTTCTCGCGTGGCTTTGCGTCGTCGGGTGGATTACCTGGCCGCGAGACGTTCAAGAATGTGATCAGTGCACCGGGCATTGACAACGGGTATGGCGCTGATGTGTTTCCTGCAGTTACGGATAGTGTGAATAAAGGGGATGCGAGCGCGGCGCAGGAGTGGATTGAGAAGAGTGCGCGGGCGGTGTTGAGGGCTGCGGAGATTTTGCAGGTGGGGAATTGAGTCAAGGGTGATGCATATGGCTGTGCGTGTGGGCAACCAGAAACAGCACGGCCATGTATCTAGTCGTTTTGCAAAAGAGAGAATTATGGCATTGTGAAACTTGTACGTTGGCCAGGTCGATTGGAATGATGTTAGATAATTCGACTGTGGAGTATGCAGACGAATCAGAAGGGTTGGTCCCATAGAACAGCGGTTCATCACCAATCTCGCTTGTAGTAGTGTAATGCCTTTACCATCGACGTCACTCTTACAACCATCCCTGCATCGTCTTCTAAGTATGTAACACAACATGATGCAATCACCACCAGCCCAACCAGCGCCATACCTGAGACACGGGGGGGTAAGGAAGGGAAAAGCAAAGACAAAGACACAGGCACACACACATGTGTATAGTCATGCATACAACGAAAAGGCAAGGCGACAGACGCTGAATCCCCTATATGCGCATATCGCCAGTAGATGATGGGATTCTTCTTCTTCCGTCGCACGCACAAACCCAAGTGGACCCCGTCATACGATGGGGAAGCGCAAGGATGCTTTTCTTCCAAGGCAGACGACGCGCGTGAGTGGCGTTGGGGCGCGCAAGTCCAGCCCACCCGGCATGTCACACGCAAACTACGTCATTGTGCTTTTCAAGCTGAGGAGAAAGGGAAGAAAAGCAGGAGGGCTTGCACACACACACACACATATGCACATACATTTGGTTTTCGCATACCGCTTCTCTCCCTTCTCACCGCCCCCTTTTGTGCTCCGTTTTTCTACGTGACTGAAAAAAAGGAGAGAGGTGGATTTGTTTAAAGAGAGTGAGGCCGAAGAAGGTTGAATTGCATCTATCCTGTTACGAGGTGCCGCCACGACCGCCACGATCGCCCCCCTCTAAAAAAAAGGAGAGACGAAAGAGAGATATTTCAAGGAAAAGAAGAAGAAGAAGGAGTAAAAATCGACTAAGCAATCATGTCTAATGCTCAGGAAAAGCCACTCAATGAGTACGTTCTTGGAAAAACGACAGCTAGCGCAAATGGGCGAACAGCGTGTTCTAACCAAATGGATGTAATAGGCTCCTCTCACGCTCAATGGTAGACATCTACGTCGGACCCGAGAACACGCACTGGATTCTACACGAAAAGCTACTATGCCACCACTCGCCCTTCTTCCGCAAAATCTTCTACTCCAAATCGTCAACCTCATCGCGCACGCAGTCGTTTGGCCTCCCCGATGAAGAAGACGTGCCGTTCAAGACGTTTGTCGGCTGGCTCTACTCATCCAGCCTACCGGTGCCGCGCGAGGAAGCCGACCTCGGCACAGCCTTCGACCTGTACCTGATGGCGGAGAAGTTTGAGATTCCGGCGCTCGTGGCCGACGTGCTGCAGGTGGTGCGCGAGTGGTACAAGTACAGCGATTCGTACCCGGGCCTGCGCCGCGTGCAGTACATCTACGCCAACACGGAGGAGTCGAGCCCGATGCGACACATGCTCGTGCATGCTGTCGCGCGCATGATGGTCGTGGCCAACACAGGCATCCCGCCGCACTGGGACAAGGCGCTGCGCAAGAACGGGCAGCTGGCTGTCGACATCATCCGCGCCATCCAGGACTGGCGGCTCGACGAGGAGACGGTGCCGGATGCGCGTGAAGAGCCGGCCGAGGGCGAGGAACTGGTCGATGTCGAGGGCGAGACGAGCAAGTTGGATGAGCAGGCGGAAAAGGAAATCGATGCTAAGCTCGCGGGGAGGGACGATCCGCCCGCATCGTCATCTTCAGTGTCTGCGGATGAGAGCGCAGAGGACTCCGAGGACACGGTTGTCGAGTCGCCGGTTGAAGAGGCCAAGGGCGGGGTGCAAGGGGCCAGCGCAAAGGGAAAGAAGGAAGACGTCAAGACTAACAACAAGACTTTAACACCGATTCTTGAGAAGGAATTTGGCAAGTTTAGCTTGAACGAGCGGGGGACTGCTGATTACGGTACCCTCAAGGCCTAAGACATTGCCCACGTCTTCTTCTTCTTTTTTTTTTCTTCTGGCTGGCTGGCTAGTTGACGAGTGCATGGTCATGCATCTCTTCACATCATTCTCTCCAGCACTTCCCCCCCCCCTCTGTCTCTCTCTCTCTCTTTCTACGATGCTTTGGGGAACAAGAACAAGAAGAAAAAAGAGGAGCTTTTAGCAATGGAGAGGGAGGGGACATGGTAAAATAAAAAAAAAGAAAAGGGGGGGATGGAGCACATTGGGAAGCAACAGTAGTCACATGGGTTTCTCTTCCCCTCCTCTTCTTTTAACTGGCTCTTTTTTTTCTTTTAAGCTTTGTTTTCTTTTTCTTTCCTTTCTCTTCTGTCGAGGACTCTCGATTGGGTATAAGCCATATGTAATAGCTTTTCCTCTTTTCTTTCTCCCCCTCCTCTCTCTCTCTCTCTCTCTCTACTCTTTCTCTCTTACCCATGGGGAGTTTCAAAGATTGCAACCCTGTTTCTGTTTCTGTTTTTTTTTGGGGTGTAAGTTGGGGCAGAGTTTTTTTTTTCTTCTTTTTCTTTCCTCCTCTCTCTCTTACTAACTTCTTGTCTTATTAGCATAGTTTATGGCGGAGGCATGGAAAAACAAACAACGGCATGAATTGAAATTAAACATTTGCAACTTTGAATTCATCGTCCTTGAATTTTTTTGATCATGTTATTTGTCAAGGTGATGACAAAACAAGATATTTTTCTTGCAAGCGTGAAAGAGAGAGGCATTCCCCCGAATGCATGAGGGAAGGGTGAAATTTGAGTTTAATGCTTGCTTAGAGGGCTGTGTGGATCACAAGCATTTATTTTACTTTGCTGGTCACCAAAATTCAATGCATTAAACTTTGCTCGGGTGCTTCCTTTTTCTTTGGATTTGCACAAAAGACAAACAACAAGGGGGTTATTTTTATCGCATTACAGGGGGGGAGCAAAGGTTCTATTGTCAATGCACTATGGGGTGGAAGGAAAAAAACCACCCCTTCCCCCTTCCCCCCTGAATCAGGCAATCCATGACGAGTCATCTAAAATCCCCCCCAGGACCATATGCGGTCGGGGATGGTCATAGTAATGTCGGCTTACCCGGCGATCAGTGTATGTAACCTATGTACATTGACGATAACAATAAGATACCTTGTGATAGCAGTACTTTTGTCAGAATGGCGACTGGTGTAGCCGTCTTACCAAGATAGAGTTTCCGGGGTAATGCGGAAAGCTAATCACCGAAGGGCGGGCGAAAAAGGCATAGTTTGTTTGTTTGGTGTGGTCGTGGTGGCCGAGAATGGATGCGGAGCTCCGAACTGAGAGCGGAATCGTGGTTGGTAGTGACGAGGGTGTGAATGGAGTAGCAGAGAAGCATATTGTCGTCATGGACGGCATGGGCGCGATGGCATCAAGTATCAATGTGTTGAGAGAGTGGCCAATTTGATTTTGTTGTAGTAGGGAGTTTTTTTGTTTGTTTATTGCCCGCTCGGATTTGGCAGGACGAGAACTGACGATGCTGCAGGTAGTCTGTTGTGCATCGTGGACCACGGCCAGCTCAGGGTTCTCGGTGACACGGCATAAATAATGCGGTCATGCAACGGTGTTTTTAAAACGGTCCTAGGCGAGATGCAAAGAGACCGGTAATGAAAGCTTATAGCATCAAGAAGGTACTTGGTTATAGAAGATCTACACAGGTGAAGGTTTTTGTTTTTACGGATGAGGGTGTTGGCTGGGAGCTAATGGCGATCAGTGGAAACATGCATGGGGCGGGGGGGCTTTTTGCGGAAGGAATCCGCAAAGTTTGCGTAGTCATTCGAGTGGCGGCCAAAAGGGATGATGCGCATGGCAGATTGCAGCTCTGTGAGAGTGGACACGAGGGCAGAGTAGTATTGGTGCAACGGCAAGCAAGGAATTTTGGACGGGCAGACGTGGGCGGAGCGAGTACCGAGTGAAGAAGGTGGGACAGGGTTGGGAAGTGGGAATGGTAGTACGGAATCGGTTGTTGACTAGAGGCGGCAGGAGGCGTTGTTTGGGTCGTGTGAGTTGAAGAAAAAGGCCATGGAGTGCTTCATGTTGAGAGGGTCTAAGAAGCCGGACCGAGAGCCGGGACGGGCTGGGAGCGTTTGGGCGGGCGCCAAGGACGTCAAGGTGAGACTGTGAGCGAGTTTGCAGCAGCAGCCAAAGACGAGGTACTGGTAAGGGGTGTGATTGGTGATTGGCAGTTGCAATAAGCCGAGGGCCCAAAGGGGAAGGCCAGACGATCTTTTGCCGGAGTGGCAGCTAGTGGTGACACAGCCTTATCTTATCCCAGCGCGTGGGTTGGATGCAGGCAGAGAGATGGAGAGAGTGGCAGACCCACTGGTTCCAGGCGGCGGAAGTGGTTTTTTCAGGCCGGACCCGGCAGGTTGTTTGCGACGTGATGCAGTGTGGACGGGCGGAAGCGAGAGTAAGGGAGGGCGATGTAGGCGGCCGAAGGGGATGCTAAGGGTTGGGATGGGTGGTGGATGTGGAGGTGAGATGAGTGGTTTGTCAATGCAAGAGCTGGAAGGGGCAGTCGCCAGCGGCGAGTGCAGGGGAAAGGCGACCAATGTGGCAGGCACGCGGTGCATGTTTGTGCGTGGGAGCCTACTCCAAGTGCTGTGGTACCTGGATACATTACAATGCGTGCGTATTTACGCACTGCAGTACGTACGAAGAAGATAGCTGGTGGTGCCATGGCGACGTCAGTGGGCACGGCGGACAGACACAGACACAGACAAGCAAAGCCAAAGAGGGGCGGGCACGGGCTGGGCAAACTATGTTGCGTGTAGGTGAGGATGGACATGTGTTGGAGGCGTTGTACTACTATTCGACAGGCGAAAAAAGGGTCCATCAGGCGGCGGCGTGGCAGGCGCGATGGACAGCGGTCAGTCGGGTGTCGTGGCGAGAAAAGAGGGTTTGGTGTTTCAGGATAGGTTTCGCTGGCAGGTCTCGTGAGGGCGGTGGACAGGATAGGATGGGATGGGATGGGATGGGATGGGATGGGGATGAGTCACGGGAGGGCAGGGCAGGGAGTGTAATAGTAGTATCCTGGTGTGCAGGTGTGTGAACAGCGATAGCAGCAGGCGAGGCGGGTGCATGGCCATGGACGGATGCGGCAAGTGACAAACAGCGACAGTGTCGACAGGGCAGGCGCAATGTCGCTGGCGCGCGAACACACTGACGGGCAGGAAACAGCGACAGCCAGCACAGCGAGCGTGGAGGCGGAGTGACAGCCACGTGTGAGATGGGGTTTGGACATGGGCGCTGGCCGCGGTGGACGAGGGCGGTCGCCCCTTCCGGCCATGGTGAAACGCGGGCCCATGAACCATGTGCCTGGCCAATTGGGGCGGGGCCTCGTGCTGGCCGGGCCCTCGCCCCTTCCGGCCTGGTCAAACGGGGGCATGGGCGGGCGTGAAACACGGGTGGCCTCAGCAGACAGCCGTCGCGGTGATTGGCGGCCGGCCAAGTATTGGCAATGGGGCCTGTAACGCAGCGCTGAGTGGTGCTGACTACGCGCGACGAGCTGCCCTCGCCGCCGACGTGCCTATGCGAAACAGCGGTTGGCCGCCACATCTGCTCGCCCTAGGCCCCAATACTCGCGCCCATGCCTGGCGTCTCGAGGCTGCCCTAGAGTAAGACGGCTAGCCCTCCTGTCCCATCCTGCCATCCATCCACCCACCCCATCCCATCCCATCCATCCTGGCCCTGTCGTCTGCTGGCTGGCCGGCCTAGCAGCAACACTCGACAAGAGCTGCCCGGCATCCGTGCCCCCCCATTTTTATCTGCCCTCGACGCCCACGCCCACACGCCTGCGCCCACGCCCTCTCGCTTTTGCCCGCTCTTTTTCTCCTCCTCTCGCCTTTTTCTCCACCCTCTCTCTCCCTCGACACTTGCCTGCAACGCCACCTGCTTGCTTGCTTGCTCGCTCGCTCGCTGGCTCGCTGGCCCGTCGCACTCGTCGCCTGCCCCGCTTCGCTAGCCCCCCCCGGCGCCCGTGTTGCACCAGCCTCTAATCTGCCCCGGCTGCGCACATCCCTCGACACTTGGTGTAGCGGACTTCCTACAAGACCCTGCCACACTCACCCTCCTACAATCAACCTGTCCCGACCCATTGCTTTCTCACACCGGCGCCCACACGCGACCATGACCACCGTTGTCGCCAATCCCCCGGCCCCTGCCCAGCATGCGGCACCAGCGCCCGTCGACGGCGTAGGCTCCTCGAGGACATATGCTCCCATTGCGCCCTCGACTTCCTCTCCCCACCAACTGACGCCTACCTCTCGCACAAACAAACTGCCCCCCCACGACAATGCTTCACCTACCTCCTCCAGCCCAGGTGCACAGCACAGAGCAGAGGCAAAGCGCTCCCCTCTTTCGTACGTCGTTTAGTCTTTCCTCCCGATCTTCTACCTCTTCTTCTTCCTCCTCTGCCTCACACTCTCCCTCGTGCCGTCCAATGTCGGCCTCGTCACCCACCTCCACCTCAATGTCCCCTCCGCACAGAGACATCATGTCCCTCATGTCTAACCGTCCCTCGTCGCGCAGATCCCGCGGCCCGGCCCCCAAGATAGTCGTCAAGAAGGAGCCCTCCTCGCCAGACATGCCCACCACCACGACCCGCCACCGACCCCAGCGCCTCAACCTCTCCAACCACAACATTGTCCACTCGTCCGGCGCCCTCACTGCTCGCCCCTCGGGCCAGCCCTCTGCAAACCTGCTCGATGTAGGCCTTGCCTGCCTGTCCCCTGGCTTCCACACGCAGGATCCCACCATGCGTGAGCAGCTACAGCGAAGTCTCGATGTACGAGAGCGCCAGCGACAGATTATCGAGGCCCGCCAGAAGCACGGCAAGGGCGGTCCATCCGAGGCAGACGAGCCCCGTCCAGGCACAGAGATTGGTGCTTTCGGCCGCACAATAAAGACTCCTCAGACCTCGCGCCGCAAGGGCCCTCCTCCAGCCCTCTCGATTGCGCCTCCTTCACACCAGTCGTTTGCAAACGACCGCGTCATCCAGTCGGCGCCCCTCAACCAAACCTTCACTGGCCTGCGCAGCAACGCATCCTCATCAAGGCACACCAACGCCCCATCAAACCTGTCACAGTCCTCGCACATTCACCATGTCCCGGCCCAGCAGACCAGCAACCGGTTACCGCCCATCTCGGACGTCTTCCCCGAGCCTCTTGGCACTGCACGCAATGCCTACCACAACGGCAGCCCTGGACACTCTTCACACTCCAACGTACAGCCCCCGATGCAATCGCCCAGCTTCCCGCCCCCACAGTTCACTCAGCCCCCGCCAACATCAAGGCCCCGCGAGTACAAATCTGCTGAGGAGGCAGTCCAGCAAATGTCAGGTGGTCGAGAGGATCTGCTCCCCCGATTGGTCCACTACGGTGGCCACCAGCCCCCAACGCCCCCATCGCCAATGCCCAATAAGAACGCCTCATCCACACACCATGTCCGCCCAGAGTCACAGCGCAGCACTAGCTCCCGGAGACGTGGCCGCGACGAGTACGAGCAAGACAATGGCACCCCTCCGCTTGGCCGCCAACAGCCTCGTCTGGGCCCATTCGGCGCTGGCCGAGACTCGCCAGAGACGCAGCTCAGAAAGAAGGAGGAATTCATTGCACTTTGCGCAAGAGCCTGGGATCTATTCCACTCGTAATGTTTTTGCCTCTTATCGTCAATGTTCTTTTTTTGTTTACTGTAATTTCTCTTTCTTATCATCATTTTCCATCACACACACACACACCCATGGCGCATGTCGGAGTTCATCATGTCCGTAGTGCACCACTCTCGCTTCATCATCATTACCTGGTTCGATTTTCAACACGCCCTCGCGCGATGTTCATTATTACCCTTTTTTCGACTCGGCATTTATTCTTTGGGGAAATCTGCGTCACCATTTTTTTCATACGTTTAGTGACAGCACCTAGCCGTCCATGGGCAACGCACGGTTATACCCCCACACACCCCTCCACACGCAAACCATTTTTTATTTCTCATGTCCAGATTTCCTTGAAATAATCCTGGGTTACCCGATTTGGTCTCCAAATGTCTTTTTTGTTTTCCTTTTCGAGTTATGGCTTCCACGAGTTTTCTGAACGCGAGAGAGGGCGAGACAAAGCAAAGGTGGGGGGACTTTTGTTTGTTCGTGGCTGAAGCGGGACATCCCTCGTCTTGAAACACGACATGTCTCATGACACGAACAACTCCTCTCTTCACACCCTCTTTTTTTCTTCTAGCCCCTCTTTTCTGAAGAGTCGGCTGGCGGGACTTCCGATTTCCGCCTTTATTTTTATTCATTTTCTGATTTGCATTTACTACGGTCATCGGGTTTTGTTGGAAATATGATACCTTGTTTTTCGGCAAAGGCAGGCGGGGTGGAAGCAAAGGGGGGAAATGGAAAGCGGGGGGAGGAGAGAAAAAAATTCCGAGGTGGTTAATTCAAAGTGGAGGAGGAAGGAAGGAAGAGATGGGAAAGACAATTGTGTCTGGTTTTTTATCGCAAAAGACAAGACCGAGTCTTTTTCCATTCCATCTACTATATCCAGACTCTGAGAGGTTTATTTACTTCAAGCTACCTAAGAAAAAAAGTGGGAAATCCGTGTGCATTGTTCAATATTTTTGTGTTTTATCTTCTATTACAAGTGAGATGTTGGTAGTGATGTCATTACTGGGATTTTTTGCTTGTTTGCTACTTGTCGTCCTGTGTGTTGAAACAAAATCCATCGGGATTCCCGTTTTTTTTAGTCCCTCGTATTCTTGATCTAAACTCCTCCCGCAGATAGATTAAAAAAAATCCACAAACAACAAACGGAGAGAGAAACAACTTGGAGTTAAATAAAGTGCAAGAAATATAGGTACAGAGGGAGAGAGAGAGAGAAAATCACGCCATACAATTCATCTATCCATCCCGTGCTTACATTTTCTCTTCTTTCATTTCGTGCGTTGCTGAAAGAAAGAAAAAAACATGTGAAAGATGCAGATAGGTAGGTACATGGTACGGAATTACACCCGCCCTGTCCCGCCGAACGACAAGATGAACCACAAAGTTGAAAGGGTATTTTTTTTCGCACCAATCAGCCCTTCCCCCCCCCC